CAGGCACAGGCACAGGCACCAGGGGTAACGCAAAAGCAGACAAGATTAAGTATAGTAGTGAACAGAATAGTGAATGAAATACTAGCACTATTGCTGACCTCAATTATCAAAGAGGTATCATCATCTCATCTGCAGGGGGTCACTTGTCACGCATCCGCACGCAGGGACCGATCCGCTCCCAGTTACACAGGCCGTCCTGTCGCGTCACAATATTGAGACGCGGGCGAGCCATCCAAGACCCTGTGGCTGGGACTTTACCTATGGGATTGGCTTGTAGTGTTGCTCTGCGTCTCTCCCTGATAAAATTGCGCTGAGACAAAGCAACTTGTTCACCGTCAATCAGACATGGCGATTTGAGACATCTGCATTGATGGCCATCTGCTTGTCCTGGCCACCAGACGCCCCGTTGTGTGTCTCTTCACGGAGATGTCGGCATCGGATGGGCACAATTGCGCCCAGTATCTGCGGCATCTGTCATGGCAAGTCTTTGAGCTTTATTGTAGTACGTACCTGGAAGATGAGCTCCGTTTCATCATAGTTATTCCTCTGGGCTGCCTTGGGATCGATCTGGCAGTTGTGAAAGAAACACAGCTAGCACTGCCTCCCCACCTGTGACCTGCATAATCGGATCCAGCACGAACTTTGCCGGTTCCGTATGTGTCTCTCCTTGTTTGTGTTCTTGCCTTTCTTTCGGCTTCCAAATGTTGCTACGCAAGACGCAGGTCCACTGACAAGTGCCATGTCCTCCAGCCAGTCAGAGCCGCAAACGGCGAGATGTCAAGAAGTTCTTTGAGTGCACTGTTTGAATCGCCACATGGAAACGCGCACTAGGAAGACAACGAACCTGAGAATGGAGCCGACGTTGGCAACTAGCGACACGCCGTCGGACAGTCCGCTGGAAGCTTCTGAGCGTTTTGGCCCACCAGGGCAATGGCACGGTATGGGGACAGTGTGTTTTACCGCAGCCGCGTATCAAAGAGCAGATGTTTCCGGCTCTTGGGCGGAGACGCTTTCGTGGCTTTGGCACTGAGGAAGACAGTACGAGTAGATGCTCCGTGGATGATGACGGTGCGAGCTTGCCGTATACTCCGTTGACCGAGCCGCGTAAATGGCATAACTAGAAAGGTACTCTGTTTAACGGTATGCTGCGGCAAATATTGAAAATTTTGTAGCCCCGAGTCGCCGGAATACATCTCCGCGGTCTGACAGGGCGGAGTCTTCTCGATGCTGCCTATACTCGTAGTCAAAGGACAAGAACAGAAGTGACAAGCAAACGTGATTGAACTTGACAGTTCCACCAAGAACCATCTCGAGAGCGGTTTGTTCTGCTTGATTTGCTGCGCGCTAACAAAGCCGCAAATCAACTTCTTTGACACCTATAAAGCGAAAAGCACGAGACCACATCCCCCAAGTATACCTGGCAGGTACATTGGGGGCCTTGTTGAGCTTTGGAGATGCGCCACCAACACTCTAACAAGAACCGGCTTTGTCTTTGTGGCGCCCATCCTCAAAGAACTGGGCTCTTTTCTCTTCCCCTTGGGTGCCCGGTTAAGAGGCCTTGGGCCAGTTGAATTCCTTGAGCCTATTCGCCGTCCTCAGCCAGACAAGGAACTTCCAACCATTGGCGCCACGGGCCTCTTGCTCCGTACACGCCCTGAAGCAAAGGACAAGCCATGGCTTCGCTCGGATCTGGCACAGGCCACAAAGCTTTGCAGCAGGACGAGAGGGCTTGGGGGCCTCATTGCTGAGAGCGGCGGCAGGCAGCAAGTGAATAATAATGCAACGCGTGCTCGTCGTTTCCTCCTCGCCTTCTTCCTTCTTTTCTTCTGTTTCTTCCACAGCGTTATTTACTCTTTCCGTTTGTTGTCGTCTGCGAAGTACACAGGAACTGATTGATTCATCGCCGTGTGATTTGATTGATTGGTTGTGTGTCTCGCTCCGTCATCTTTGCGCTCCGTTGTCTAGATCTGACAATTTCCGGCATCCGTTTGGCCAATATTGCTGCAAAGTACCTCTTTTTTCCTTGGCTGTCTGATATATCCCTACCGCTGCTCCTCGTCGTCCCATTGCCCTCCCTTGCCCCTTGCCGTTTCATTGCAATTGCAGCAAAGAAAAGGAAGATCACAAGCGATAACACAGCAACGCTTCCTTGACTTGAGCAGCAGCGTCATCTTCTGGTGCGACCCCTCTCCCAAGAAGCTCCGGCAGCGCCAGCAGCAGCAGCAACAGCTCCTCGCTCTCGTACCATCTGGTTTCTTCCTCGTTCGTGTGGGTGGAATTTTGACCTTGTGGGCTGTTTCAGCGCCCTTTGAAGCCAGCTTGGCCAACCAACGGGCCCGAGATCGAGCAAGAGATCGCCTGTGGCCGCCAAAAAGGCAGCGCCCACATCGACGTCTCACACGCAATACACACACGCCCCCCCTGGCTGGATCCTGGTCGACCATTCGACCTTGCCCTCGCCTAACTAATCCCCGCGCGACCCGGTTCCAGGCTGTGCAGACTCTCAACAGTGTGTGTGAGAGAGAGTGTGTGTCCACTAGACTGTCCCAAGTCCAACAAAGAGGGCCAGTTAGCAGCACCAGCTTGGACAAGGGAGAGAGAAAAAAAAAAGCTCGCCCGCTCTCTGCCGCACGGCGTCCCGCGTACTGACTCTTTTTTCCTTCCATCACACATTCTTCCTCTTCCATCTCTTTTTTTCTCGTCACGGCTGCTACGGTTCTTCCCTTGCGCGTGTTTCGGACTATCGGCTGAGAGAGTTACGGTTGTTTTTGCCGGCGCCTAAAAGTAAGTTGCACCTTTGCAGACTGCCCAGTTGGTTTTTTTCTTCTTCTTGTTCGTGTGAAATTTTCCCCCTCTTGTCCGTGCCCCGGCTCGAATAGCGTGTGGTTTTGCGCGCGGAACGATGGATCGAAACTGGAATTGGACGTCGCCTCTGGAGCCGCGGCGACGCACTCGCCAATCTCGACAAGGACCGAGGCCGAAGCAAGTGGTCAAGACTTGTGCGCTTGGAGACCCGGCCGGCTCGGCGACGCAATCGATCGATCAAGTGAAAATACCGTGGTGCGCCCTCGCCCTCGCACTCACAGCCGTGGGCTCATGCGGCGAAATGCGGCGTCGTATTTCCGCTTGCGCCGTCGCCGGTCGGCCGTGCCCCCGAAGCCTCGACTGCTCTGCCGCGTCCTGTCCAAATCCTGAGCGTCGCATCGGCCGACTCTTTTCGTTTTCGCAAAGCGCCTTGATTTCGTCATGGCCACGGGATTTTCTCTTCCGGGAGCACTTCGGCGTCTCGCGGGGCGATGCACGATCTCCATCCGATTTCACCCCACTTCGCCGGGTCTACCATGTGATTGCGGCATCCGAATCATGAAGGACGATAATCGATACGAGAGGGACCGGCAGGGTGCGACGAATCATGGCGAGCCGATGGAGGCGGTTGCTTGTTGGGCTCGTCCGAGTCTGCTGTCGTCGATGTCGTTAGGAAAACAAAATTGGCCGCGAGGCTGCAAGTTCGAGGTTGCGGATGTCAAGTTGCTCGTGCTCCGAACAGCTGCATTGCAATTTCGCGGCCGACAAATACCGCCAGCGCATCGAAAGTCCCTCATATCGGATCGCGGAGAAACGAATATTTCGGCATTGGCAGGCTAGAGCTTTTGCTCTCGACTAGACAGCGATTTTTGAGTGTGGAGTGTGTTGGTGTGCGATTGGTGCCTTGGCCGTTTGTCACCACCAAACTGGTCTTTTATTACGAGCGCAATACTTTCCAGGGTGGCTTGATGGCTAGTAATGTGGTCAATCTCGCAAATTGATGGATATGGAATGTGGCATTCCCTCTGCTGGTTTATACCCACCTGGAATGTTCCGACTATACCGTCATCTTTGACTACACGAGCATGCAAGGCGCACCAGAACACGAAGCTCAAAGCCAATGGATACATTCCGAGGAAACCCTGACGACCAGTATTTGCATCAATATCCGGGCCATCTAGAGAAGCGGAAGAGAAGGTTGGAATAGGGCTTACTGGAAATGGTGCCGCTTCGTTGGTTCAGGCATCTCGGCAGGCATTTTGCGCATCACACGGAGTCGGGGCCTTTTTGTTGTCACTGCACATTACACAGCTGCTAGAATCTTTGGATCCGCATCATTGAATGCTAACAGCGATATCTAGGTTCTTCTTGATTTCGAGAGCGTTCCAACTGTTTTACCACACTCCTTTAGGATTTTCGGTAGAACATACGATCGGTCCACGATATCATCTTTCGACTCCATCTTAAACAAGGTCATTATCCGCCTCAAGCATCGCATTTGTCCCCTTGCCATCTTGAACGCGGCGTGACGGCGTATTGAGAATCTCTTATTCATACGGACACTTTTTTTCCTTTGGAATCTCTCTAGCAAGACTGGTTATCGGTCTTCTATTGCTTCGTTGTCGATCTTCGCTTTCGATTCGAACGTCACCTCTATTTCGCTTCTATTTAGGTGAGTGGCTGGTTGTGCTCTCTACAATGACATGGTGCATAGCGCTAACCGTTTGTTGTCGTGTAGTCTTTGAGCATCTTCTTCGGCAAGGAACGAAAGCCCGACAGTCTGTTTATAATCGAGCTTGAAGCAGATTACAATTTTGTTTCCTAAAACATAAAGTAATTGGTACGTCTTCGATTTCTTCCCCCTATGCTCCATCATGATTCTGCGAGCTGGGTGTATATGCTCTTGAGCTTGAACGTGACCATCGTGAGCCAAGTGGTCTCGCCTCAAACTTCCCTACAAAACCTTGTCGCCGAGGCTGAGTTCCTCTCGCCCTGTGCGTGTAATCTACGTCCCCCCAAAATCCACCGAGCTAAGTCGCCGGTGGCGCTCGTCACATACGAGTGTACGAGATAACGTGTCAAGGCGGAACAGCATTTAAGCTGGCACGTCATAGGACACATTACCCTTGCTCCCTCTTCTTCCTCTTATTTCTAGAAACCGTTTGCTGCAGAATATCTTTAAACCCGTTGTGCTGATGGACGTTAAGACTAGTATGGATATGAACTCCTCCTTTCCTGGTGCTCCGTCTAACGGCATCTCTGCTGCCAGTCCAATGGCTTTTCAAAACGGAACCCCACCCGCCACCGACATGTCGGCTGTGCCTCCTCCCGCTGGTCCTACTCAGGATCAGGCCAAAACCACCCTGTGGTAAGATACAACAACGCAACCACTAAACACTTGAACGAGTCGTGTGTGACTAACAAGAGGATCAGGATGGGAGAGCTCGAGCCCTGGATGGACGAAAACTTCATCAAAGGCGTCTTCCTTTCTTCCGCTGGCGAAACCGTCAACGTCAAGGTGATTCGCGACAAGAACTCGGGGTAAGCTTGGTCTCCATCTCCATGGCGCGTTGAGTTTTGTCCCTCTCTCTCCATCACACGAGAAAGGAATCACGACAATTCACCCGTCATATGCATCATCATTTCAGCTGACTCTGCTCTCCCCTCTCAGCAACGCCGGATACTGCTTCGTCGAATTCGCAACCCCCGACGCCGCCACCAAGGCGCTTGGCCTCAACGGAACGCCTGTCCCCAACAGCTCGCGCCAGTTCAAGCTGAACTGGGCGTCTGGCGGCGGTCTGGTTGACCGACGGTAAGTCTGATGCGATGCGATGCGATGCGATGCGATGCTTGTTTTTGTCTTGTTTGAAATTCTGCCGTGCTCAGCCTTGCCCTCCCTTTGCTCGCCCCCTTGCGCAAGTACCAGCCAGTACCTCTGCTTGTACCTCCCCCCACTGCATCTTCTCCTGTACCTGCCCGGTACCTGCGCAGTTTTGCGGCAGTAACCGTTCCGCCTCGGATTTACCTTTTCACCACCTTCAGGCACAGCTTCCACATCTGCCGCTTCTGCCTTGCCTCGTTTTTTGTTTCTCTCGCCGTCACAACGTCCACCCTTCCACTTTTGCCAACCTAATTTTTTCTCCTCTTGACGCTCTTCTTGCCTTGAACTCTTCACTCTCGCTCCTGCTGAATATTTGGTTTCTAATGTCTACCAACGATAGCGACGATCGCGGCCCCGAGTATAGCATCTTCGTCGGTGATCTCGGTCCCGAGGTCAACGAGTATGTCCTGGTCTCTCTCTTCCAGGCTCGCTTCCCTTCGTGCAAGTCGGCCAAGATCATGACGGACGCCATGTCTGGCCAGAGCCGCGGCTACGGCTTCGTGCGCTTCTCCGATGAAAACGATCAACAGCGTGCCCTCGTTGAAATGCAGGGAGTCTACTGCGGCAACCGTCCTATGAGGATCTCGACTGCCACCCCCAAGAATCGGTAAGTTGCACCCGCCAACTTTTTTTCGTGCACGCATTTTGCCAGCCCACCTTCTCTTCTTTGCCCAACTTCTTCACTTATACCTACACACGCTCGACACTCCCTCCGTCTTCTAGTTGTAACTGAGAACACCCGACTCTAACATGACCATCTCGTTTTACAGCGGCAACCACGGCTTTGGTCACGGACACCAAGGCGGTCCGATGATGGGCGGCGGTATGCCTCAACAGCAAATGTGGGGAGGAGTGCAAGGATTCCCCTACGGCGGCAATGCCGGTGCTGGTGGCGGTTTCAACCCAGCTACTCAGATGAACCAGTTCACCGACCCCAACAACACAACTGTTTTCGTCGGCGGCCTCTCGGGCTATGTCACGGAGGACGAGCTTCGATCTTTCTTCCAGGGATTCGGAGAAATCACCTACGTCAAGATCCCTCCTGGCAAGGGCTGCGGATTCGTCCAGTTTGTCCACCGCCACGCCGCCGAGATGGCCATCAACCAGATGCAGGGCTACCCCATTGGCAACTCTCGAGTCCGACTCAGCTGGGGCCGATCTCAGAACAACTCTGGAGTCGGCACTCCCTACCGCCCTGCTCCTCCTCCGCCTCACTACATGGGCATGCCTGGTCCTGCCCACGGCGGTCCCGGTCCTAACCCGTACGGTGGCCCTCACCACTTTGGCGGTCCTGCTCCGGGCCCCCAAGGTCCCTCAGGACCCCCAGGTCCCGCCGTCCCCCCTCAGGTAGGAAATTGAACATACAAAAACTCGCACCGAGAGACAGACCACAGAAAGGCTGACCGTTGATTTTGCCTAGTAAAGTTTGAAGAGACGGCCGGACACTATTGAGACGGCTGGTCGCTCTGGCCAGCCTCGGGGATCTGGACAAGGTTTTGTCGACTCTCATTTGATGCTCTCCTTTCTTCTTATTCACAGCCGATTGATGGGCTGACCTGGGGCAACATTGGGGCGTTGGACTGATTTGCGTCGTTCGGGCACGTCGTCTTTTGTCATTTTTTCTCACGTTGAAATTACCATTGCTCTGCGCTTTGACACGACACTATGCACCCCCCATTTTCTTGAGTCTCAAATCACGACCGGCGTTGGAGATTTCAGTTCTCTGGGGAACTGTCACCAGTCAAATTTGATTACGTGCTTGATTTTATGATTCCCCTAACAAAAATTGATGCCGTGCTTTGTTTGCGTGTGATTGCCTCATACTTTTGTGATGTGTGCATTTGTCTGTTGTGCTGTCTGTTTCCTTTTCTACTTTTATTTCCTTTTTTTCTCTTCAACTTTTTCCTTACTTCTAAATGTTTTCCCTTTGTCCACCAAAAGCCTGACTTTGCGCATAGCGGCAACAGAAATTCTCGTCTTGAAGAATTTGCGCTGGTCATAAAACGATCTGCTATGGATTATAAAAGTATGTCTGCAGCTGGGTTTAATTCGCTTTTTTCCTTTTTTTTCCCCTATGTACTTTTTATATTTTTCTTTCCCATGTCTCTCATCTCCTACTCTTATTTCTGTATTCTCTCCTTTTTCTTTTGCACTTCTCGGTTTCCTTTTCCAGTCGTTACCGTTCGTCTGCCTGTCGCTTCGGACTTGGGGCAACGGTCAAAGTTCAATCATTACTGGGGTTTCCTTGGGTGTCTCTTTTCTCTCCGTTTCTTTTCCTGTGTACCTCCATCAATCGTTAGGCAACTTGGAATTTTTCCTCGTTCCGATGCATGGAGTCTTGCTTGTGCGAGTGGCAGCCGTGGGTGTAGCCAGCGAGCTGTCAAGATAGCGTATGGCAAGGGGACCGGCATATATAGCTGCTCTATTACAGGTAGAGAAGAATATATCGGCGCACTTAGATGGGGATATTGCTTGCCTTGGCTTTTATTAATCTCGAGCATGGCTGCCTGTGGTTGTTGTATGTTGCCCAGCGATCGTAAGATACCACATGCCGACTGCTGTTGAAAGAATGCTTTTTTCGTCTGGGGGACTTTTGCGACAGTCCGTGCCGAAATTCCGTTGCTACGACACTATCACGGGTTATGCTACTCTTCCTAGCCAGAACCTCGGACTGAGGCCAAGGCTAGTTGATCTGGGGCTAATCATAAATTGGTGCCATCGTCGGCGAGGAGTCATTCATTGTCCGTCCCACTTATGGCTGCATCCTTTGCGCCAAACTTGCCGACGAATAATGGTTCAGCAAGAGTTTATTAATGCATATATAAATTCTATAGTAATCTATTGCGTATACACAATTCATGGGCATGTTTTTATGACGACTTCGCGGAATCAGTAAAACTCCAAGATATTGTACTTCGAGACCAGCGAAGAAGATACAAATCATGCCATCCACACCAGGACAGTTCCGTGTCGAGCCTGCTCGAGAGGAGGACATGCCGCGATGTATGCAACTCATCCTCAATGCCTTTGGACCGTTTCCAAATTTCGACATTATTGGAGGGGGGCCTGATTCGGAGGAGACGCGGAGGCTGAACGCGGAGCGACACTTGCGCGGTTACAAGGAGCATCTTGAGAAATATCCTTCTGTATCGCCGGGCGTTAAATGCGTGTATACAGATCCTGCCACCGGAGAGGACAAGATTGTCGGGTTCGCAGAGTGGTTCGTCTGGGACCGCGAGAGGACCGAGGAGGAGTACACGGTGGAGAATTACATTTTGCGGATGGAGTGGGTGGAGGATCTGGAGAAGAGGAAGCTTGTGCTGGATACGATGGAGCCGGAGTTTGCGCTGAGGAGAAGGATCATGAAGGGGAGGCCGTTTGCGCTGCTGTGCTACATGTGTGTTGATCCTGAGTATAGGAGGAGGGGGGCGGCGACGGCGTGTGTGCGGTATGGGATGGAGAGGTGTGAGGAGTTGGGGATACCGGCGTATTTGGAGGCGAGCGAGGAGGGGATGAAGACGTATAAGACGTTGGGGTGGGAGGTTTATGAGGATTATGGGGAGAGGATGATGTTTCCGCCGATGATTTGGTGGCCGCCGAATGTGACGAGGGAGTGAGTGTTGGAGGATTTCATCTGCTTCGGAAGGAGGTTTGTACGATGTGAAGGTTTCCTTAGATGGAGTATAGCGAGTTGTTGGGTGGATTTTGTTGGGCTATAGGGAACATGGGTTGGGTTATGGATGTCTTTGTATATGATATCGATGCTTTGGGAGGATATTTGAGGATTCCGTTTGCGTAGGTTTGACGTTTGGTTGGAGGTGTGTATCGAGCTGTCAAAAGAAAGATATATTAGTTGTAAGAACGATAGAAAGAGGGTAGATAGCCGAGGCAAGCATACGACATTGTTCTTCAGATCTTTTGAAGACCGCCTTTGGCATGGCTCCTCCAGAGCGACAGATGGCAACTGATTCAACTGCCAGGAACGACGAATGGAAATTGGTTCGGCTGCCACCGTTTTTGCTTCTTATGCTGTAAGATCATCTGGTTCGGTGCTAGGGGTATTTAGGAAGTGGATTGATGTTCATTGTGAGTTCGAAATTGTCCTCTGGCATTCGGGTTGGACTTTTGTCGTAGAAGATAACTCGTGAAGGAGTGCCGTAACGTTCGAGAGGATTGATATGACGGATCGGTATGACGGATCAAAGAATCGGAGATTTTTGGGCGAACGCCATCTGCCAGTAAATGTGTTAGTACGTTGATCAGAAACAACAATGAAGCAGGCGATATAGGCAATTTTGACAGATATCTGAAGCACTGCTAAGCCCTGGAATCGGAGGCAATTCAACTTACCAAAGTAACAGCTTGTATAGTTGTATTGCGATCGAACACCATCTGAGAGATTTCAAGGGTTAGGGTTACTGGATTTCTTTTATCGAGGCAGCTTAGGCTACAGCCAGTGAAACAGATATAGAGTTCTTTGGAGCATCTCCCTCGTAAATAGGTAGTATTGGTTCGAAAAGAGTTTGAGGGTAAGCAATCGTGACCGCAACGGCTGCAGAGAAGACGCCGTAATAAGGTTCAAACCCATCTTCAGTATCTCTGGAAGCACAGACTGCTCTTGGAAAGAATCAGTGCTGTTTTGAAACCCACGAATGGGTACGCTACTTTGCGATGTGGACAATGGTGTACCTTTCGCCTGAGTAATTGCCCATGTTCAATGTTTGGACGGCGGGCCTCGGAGAACGATCTACCCAAAGCGAAAGTTCTACACAATACTTCAAACACACAGTTGAAACCCCACAGTTTGTATCTAGGATGTCCTCGATACATACCTCTTGTAGTGATTGCTCTCAGCTTCGAATCGATTGAGTGTATCGCTCGTGGGTACGGGCGGGAAGTTCGCCAGGGTATGTTCTCAAACACTTTGCTGCCCGACGGCAAGGAAAATATTCGATGTCAATATGTTGATGTTTTGTATCGATTATCGATATCGCTTAGTCGGCTTCATTTATTTTCGCAAACAATCGGAGACTGTTCATAACGGCAAAGAGGAATTAGATCTGGACAAGAAGTTGAGGAAAATGGAGCTCAGCGCTCCTAGAACTTAGCCGTGCGTGAAACTTCTTCGCCGCAAGCTCCCATACAAAGGTATTGGATGACAGACACTGGGAATATTTTCCAAGTAAACTTGAAGATCATAGTAAGACCAATGTCAACCATCCTCAGTAGAGTTGTGCGATCGTGGCGGTCGAGCCTGTTGTCGAGATGAGGAAACCAATTTGCAAGGTCACCATACGATGTCGTATTCGGGCTTTCGTAGGCAGTAGCCAACCATTTCTTTTCCTGTGTATCAATGGCCAAGATAGAGGTTCGAAATGAGAAGAACGCACTTTGTTGATTTGTTCTGCTCCATAGGTTGGCGAAAAGGCTGGTTTTTGGCGATTCCGTAGAAGTGGAGAGAGAGGAGATTCCCAGCCTGGATCTTTGTATTTGCCCCTAAGCGCAATTACCTGATAGCCACGGTGAAGGGACCAGACTTACGTAGAATCTCTCGAGAATTGATCTTGCTGATCTCAAATACGAGCCGAAGTTTGTGTCTGCAGAGACTGCCGTTTGTTTGACTTGCCAAAGCAGGTAGCCGGGCGAAAGAGAAGATAGGCTGCGAGTATGCTTATTACGCTAGGTTTTCTGTTTTTGATCATTTATGTCCAAAATTAGAAGGGCTTGCCAAAGGAATTATTAACAATTTGCTCAAAGCTGTCATTAATGTGTCGTTGAATGGATTTCAGGTGATGGGGCCTTCTGCGTCTCGTCAAGCTTGTATGCTGTCTTTTGGACCACTGGTAGGCAGGACGGGCAGCGACATACCGAAAGTGAATCATCAAAGAGAAGAAATCTTTACTCACCTAATAGAAAGTAGAATTTGATGGATTGAGAAACTTGTAGTGACTCTGCGTCCCAAGATCTGCGAGTGACAGCTTGGCTCCTGTTGGCCGTCAGTATCTCGATCCGCGTCGACGAGCAAGACAAAGGTCATACTACCCGGTAATTTCCAGGTCACACTTCCAACAGCAACACAAGGAACTAGATCACCATCCGTTTCTACGAGTGAATTAATGCATACGAAGAAGAGTAATGTCTCATATGCTGGATTATACATCAAAATACAGCCAAGTCCTAGCACAGAGAGTTCACCAGCAATTACGAGACGACACTGGAAACACAGCCATTCGAGAGCGTCTAGAGCGTCCATCGCCACATAGAATATTAAACTCGACCTACGCTCAAACCCACCACAACGCAAATACTACTAACCCAGCTCTTCCTCCCTACCCTCTCAGCTCTTCCTCCCCAGTCACCGCAGCCAAGCACCAAACGAAAGTCCCCGAGTGCGGCCCACCTTCATCTGATGTACGAGAAAGGCAGCCGGCCAATGAGAAAAATCGAGGCAGCTGGCAGCTTTTCGAAAATCATTTTCACAATCAGTAGCCCACCTCTTTTCCTAATATGGAACATGAGGGAGATGCAAATGTACCAAAGTACCTCCTCTGAAGAGGTCGAGGTACTTGGGTACAGGGCTGGAAGGAATTGGGGGAGGCGTACGAGGCTGTGATGGAGCCGTGATGGCTGAATTGGAGGATGCGGTCGAGATTTCAAGTGTCTGGGTAGAAGAGTAGCAGATTGCTCCATGTGTAATTTCCGAGTTCGTAGGTTCTAGCTAGTGTGTGTAGCTTCAATCTTCGTTATCCTGTCATCAAACCAAAGAGTTCTTGTGGCCAGTACCGGAAAACTGCATGTTGTGGCCGACCTGTCTCTAGCTGTCACATTGGCGTAGCCGCCTAGAGTCTATCCAAACTCTCGAAGAGAGTCCAAAGGCTCTTTCATATTGAAATATGATGGTGGGATTATGGCGGCCGTTTGGGAATGAATTTGGCGCTTTCTCCCTGATTCAAGGAGACATTTTTTGCTACAACTGATCCAGGATCCGAGTTCCTACGAGCGAATGCTTCTACCGTAGTAATTTAACATGGAGGAGACATTGTATCATATTGAATGAGGAGAATATTCACATCAACCAGATGCGCAGAATACCCAGCTCCTGACTCCTCCCAGGCTATCTGATCTGACCGCCTCCTGTCTTGCCATTTCCTCTCCCCGCTTTCCAAAGCCAGACTCTGAGTGAGGATAACACTCTGTCACTCCCTAGATCGTAAAGAAGTTCTCGGGGTGGTCCGTTCGAAGTAGGGGCATAGATTGCAATGGAAAGGCAGTCTCTTCTCGGTTTCTGGGTAGACACCATGTGCGTGTACGACGGTCGAGAGTTCGGTAGGGGTATCAATTAAACTGCCTCTACAAATGGTTAGCGAAGTCCACTGGAATATTTGAGGGACAATACCTGCAAACATCACGGGCACATGGAAATTGGCGTTGAGAGACGCTGTTTGTAGCCAAGGACGAGGCAAGAAAACAAGCCACTCCTATCCACGGCGAAGCCCCTCAGCTGCGAGCAGAAAAAGAGCAAGGAGTAACCAGTAATGGATAACCGAATATGCCTCCTGTGGATTGCTGTGATATTGAGGACAACTTGATGCGACAGGAAACGAATAAAGCCATTCTGCTGCCGTACCACGGCTTCTTGGCCAAATTCCCTGGGTGGACATGATCCTATGGCCCACCTGGGAGTAAGCGAACCTGGAAATGAACAGTTTTGAAAAAGAAAAGCGTTGTTTACCTGGGCAGGATTGCTCGAAGAGCCAGACGGGTAAAGTAAAGTGGTGGCAGTTGAGATTTAGTTAAATCCCCATCTGCATAGTAACGCACTCAGCCGAGACACTTTGCAGTTACCAGCTTTTGAGCAGTCAACATTGAATCTGGCTCATAGATGGATGGAAATGCTTGTATTTCTACTTTCTATGCATTCCTAATTAATCTCTCTCAAAGCCAACTACTATTTCTCTGGCAAACTTCAACGCCGCCCTTGGAAGATCCGACGCTCCAGGGTAATACAGCCCAAGGTTCAAACTCGGTCGTCAAGCTACAGGTATGGAACTTTGGAGTACCAAATGCTTGTGGTCATGTTTTGAAGCCGGAATGATGCTAATTCCCCTGATATTCTAGTTTCTCGAAGACCGTTAGCCGAATACCGACGCTCGATTCTCCGAACCGATCCTACAGCGAAGCTGAAGAGCACTCTCCCCATCCTCGATTTTATTCCAAGGCATTTCTTTTCATATTCTGCGACCAGTATTTTACGTGTCGATGTGCTTTTAGAGATACAAGGGTAGAGACGAGGGACTCGTAGGCAGACAATTGCTTGGGGCGTGACACCTGTAGGACATGGACAAAGCAAGATCGAGGATATCGGTAGCATTTGATTTTCCATATTTTCAAATTCAAGCGATGTTTTACTCCCTACTTACCGTTCTGATCCTTTGATTGATTCTTGCGACGAAAGTTTCATCGCGAGCTGCATTGTATCCATCCTGAAAATGTGACGAGATCATGATTCTGTCCAATCCAGCTCCCCTTGACTGGGCTTTTTTCGGTGGTTCAGTATTTCAAAAACATGACCAAGAGGAGACAGCGAATGGCAAAGTCCCATTGTCTTGTGATTTTC